AAAAAAAAAAAAGAAAGACGAAGGCTTTCTTAAAGAGAGCTGAAAGAACAAACAGGCAGGCCCAGGGAAGAAGAAGAGGGGGGTCCCAGCTACAGGAACTTGTGTGCTAACTCTCTAGGTAGTAAGGAGAGCTTCCTTTACTAGGCTCCCACCATGTACAAAGTGTTGCTCTCAGCCCTTCACATGCATGAGCCTATTTAATCCTCTAGTGGCCAAGCCTCAATAAGTGTGACCAGTTGTTCTGATTCCCCACTGCGTAGGTGAGGGCACTGAGGCATGGGACAGTTATGTGACTTGCTCAAAGTCATACAGTTCAGTGAATGGTGGAGCTGAAATTCAAATCTAAGCCATATGGCTCCAGAGCCCACACCCAAAACCCCACCCCATAAAGCTGCCTCTCATATCAATAGATTTAACATTTCTATGTATCTTCACTCAAGATGAAAATTCCCAGGAAAGAAGGAATTCCCCGGCGGTCCAGTGGTTAGGACTCCACACTTCCACTGCAGGGGGCACATGTTTAATCCCTGGTTGGGGAACTAAGATCCTGCAAGCCCTGAGATGTGGCCAAAAAAAAAAATTCCCCGGGAAAGAGAGCCTGATTGGCCCAGTGTGGGACTCTTGCCCACCCGGGGTGGCGCATTGGCCAGATGCTGGGATTGTCAATCCAGCAAAGAGGCCAGAGGAAAGATGGTGCCATGACTGGAAGAGATCTTGGATAGACAAATGGTCTAGCTCTCTACCATGGAGGTGATGGAAGAAGGGAAATCATGAAGTCACATTTGTATTCTAGGAAGACCATTCTGGCTCCCTGGTGGAGGATGGATTAGAGGGCCCAAGAGTAGGGGCCAGGATCCCCACTGAGGACATTGGTCTAGTCATCCTGCAGGAAATGCTAATGAATTCAGCCAGGGTGGCAGGAAGTATATGGAGAAGGGTATGGGTTTGCAAGATACAGAGGAGGTATTAATGGGATAGAGGAGCAGGAAGTTCAAGTGGAGAGCATTCAAGAATAACTCTAAAGCTCTGGCTTGAACCATTGGGTTGATGGAGGTGCCAGAAGAAGCAGGTATGGGGAGGTATGGGCCAGGATAAATTCAAGATGTCTGTGACCCCTCAAGGTGAGATGCTCAAGGGGCAGCTAGGTGATGGGGAGATCTGTAGGGAACTTTGCTCGGATTGACGGCTCTGCAGGGCCGCACCAAGCTCATAGGGTACCTTTTAGAACATGGGTTGGCAAATTTTTTCTGTAAAGGGCCAGATAGTACATATTTTAGGCTTTGTGGATCATATGGTTTCAGTCGAAAGTACTCAACTCTGCTGTTGGAGCACGAAAGCAGTCACAGACAATGCTTAAACAAATGTGCATGACTGTGTTCCAACAAAACTTTATGTATGGACACTGAAATTTGAATTTCATATTTTTACATGTCAAGAAATAGTATTCTGATTGTTTTTTCAACCATCAAAAAATGTTAAAACCATTCTTAGCTTGTAGGGATCATATAAAAACAGGGAGCAGGTTGAGAATTCTACATGCAGGCTGTACTTTGCTGATCCTCTTTTTTTTTTTTTAATTAATTAATTTTTTTTTTTTTTTTTTTTTTTTTTTGCGGTATGTGGGCCTCTCACTGTTGTGGCCTCTGCTGTTGCGGAGCCCAGGCTCCGGACGCGCAGGCTCAGCAGCCATGGCTCACGGGACCAGCCGCTTCGCGGCACGTGGGATCTTCCCGGACCGGGGCATGAACCCGTGTCCCCTGCATCGGCAGGCGGACTCTCAACCACTGCGCCACCAGGGCAGCCTTATTTATTTATTTTTGGCTGCGTTGGGTCTTCGTTGCTGCACACAGGCTTTCTCTAGTTGCATTGAGCAGGGGCTACTCTTGGTTGTGGTGCGTGGGCTGCTCATTGCAGTGGCTTCTCTTGCTGTGGAGCAACGGCTCTAGGCGTGCAGGCTTCAGTACTTGTGACATGTGGGCTCAGTAGTTGTGGCGCATGGGCTTAGTTGCTCCGCGGCATGTGGGATCTTCCCGGACCAGGGCTCGAACCCGTGTCCCCTGCATTGGCAGGCGGATTCTTAACCACTGCATCACCAGGGAAGCCTGATCCTCAGGTTTTTTTGTTGTTTTATTTTGTTGCTGTTTTCTGTTTGTTTTTTTAATGTTTGGCTGTGCCTCGCAGCATGCGGGATCTTAGTCCCCCAACCAGGGATTGAACCCAGGCCATTGGCAGTGAGAGCACAGAGTCCCAACCACTGGCCCGCCAGGGAATTCACTGATCCCTGTTTTAAAGAATTAGAAAAAGTCATCCTGTTCTCCAGTAAGACCTTTTATAAGTTAGTTTATTATTTCTCAATATTACAATTATGACAAACATTAAGGCATTCTGTGTAAGTTACACAAATATTGAGTGTAAAATAATAGAAAATTATCATTGTTGCAAATGTATTACAATTCTTCAATGGTAGTCATATTGGAGTTCAGAAAATTACAAGATGTTTGGTTCTTAATACATTAATGTCCCATCAAAATCTTCTTTTATGTATAAAGTTTATTTCAATTGTAAATTTTATACAGAGTTGCAGTAGTCCATATTTATCATATTCTTCAAGTTATATATGTTGTCTGGATTAGAACATTTTTAAAAGGTCATGATATTCTTTCAGTATCATAAATCTTTCTTTTAAGGATGTTATTAGTGGGTCGGGTATAGCAAAATAAATTGAAATAATTTTGAAATTGAATTTTAGTTCTTGAAAATCACAAAATGAGTCTTCCTTCTTTTTCTTAGCATTTTCTACATGGGAATGGCATCAGTGTTGAAATTCTGTAATTTGATATCATAACCTATTTTTCATAAATCTTGCTTCCTGTTTTAGACAAAGAACATAACGTTTTCAGCACTTTCAAGGGCATTATGTATATTAACTTTTGGTTTTTTTAAGATTTATTTAAAAGATTTTACCTAAACACCATTTCATATTAACCCTGAGCAAATATATTTAAAAGTTGAAATTTGCTAGCATATACTTTGCATTCTAGAATCTATATCATTATTATTGATAATATAATTAACAGTTCCTAAAAAGAGCTTTGCATCCTGCCTCTTGAGTTTTTAGTGACATTATGGCATTCACTTAACTTTCTCATTGTGAATTTAACATTGACATTCAGTGTTGGAAAATTTATGTTTGAAAATACATGTTTAAAACACTCCAGAGGTCTTCCCTGGTGGCGCAGTGGTTGAGAGTCCGCCGGCCGATGCAGGAAACACGGGTTCGTGTCCCGGTCCGGAAAGATCCCACATGCCGCGGAGCGGCTGGGCCCGTGAGCCATGACTGCTGAGCTTGCGCGTCCGAAGCCTGTGCTCCGCAGCGGGAGAGGCCACAACAGTGAGAGGCCCGCGTACCCGCCTGAAAAACAAACAAAAAAAACACTCCAGCATTTCATCAAAACTGAAATTTTGCTGGATTTTCCCTGGACAATATTTAAAAATTCAGTGATGTCAAAAGAATATTTTACCACATCATTCACTATTAATTTTAAAGAATACAGAAAACAAAGAAAACAGATTTCCCAGAATTATTTTTCAAGAATCTTTTGTTACAATCTATTATGGTTTTCCATGCATTTTTGCTGCATTGTCATATTCCTGGCTTCTTGGGTTATTTTTGTCCAGATTCAGTTTTTGTAAGTGGTCTACTGAGAATGTAAAGTCCTTCTCTAGTCAATTCATCTGCTAAACAAAATTCCCCAAGATGTTCATGTATAGGTATTTTTGTATTTTGGAAATCAACAAATCTGAAATAATTGTTATGTATTCTACATAACTTGTTCCTAGAACTGTATTTAAAATAACTGAGTAATGTCTAACATTTCTTACTTTATTCAACATGTTCTTATTCACTGCATCTATATCTACATATATTTAATTATTTTGTTTTGTCTTTTATTCCCTAAACAATGTGTAATATTACTTTGTGTCAGTGTTTATATTTTGCATAAATATTCTGACATAACTGTATCAAATTCTGCTGTGATTACTGCCAAATTAAGAACATTTCCCACACTCAAACTTCTTGGATGAGCTTGGATATTTCTTCATCAAAAAGTGAATCATAAGTATCATATGTTCAAAACAGCACCCATTTTTTCTCATTTTTCACCGGATATATTTTTAGAATCAGATTTCAATTTGGTGGGTGTGCATTTAACTTTCTTCATGTTTATTAGGAATATGCAGTAAATGCTGCCAATCTTTGCTTTCATTTTCATTCTAGCATTGATTTGTTTTTTTGTGTGTGTGTGTGTTTTTTTTCCCATCCCCAAAGACTTTACAATGTAGACAAAATAAAGAATCCTTTGAAGTAGAATAAAGTAACCAGGGTTTAGTGATTTTTTTTTTTTTTAGAAGAATTGAGAGTATTAATTTTCCAAAACTTCCTACCAATGTTGTTCTTTGGAAACTTAACATTTCTTACCTGAGATACATCATTTCAACCAGAGTTGCCTGTTTAATATGCAAAATTCTGTGGTTCTGTGATCAGGTACCTGACAGGCAGCAAGTACATTTGGTTTAATGGATTCTTAGTTTTTGTTTTTTTCCTCTCTTCTAGTTTTTCTTGAATTCCATCAGTTATGAGAGTGTGGAAGACCAAAGTAAACTCCCATCCTGCCCCACCAGCAAACACAGTTCTGTGTTTTGCTAAAACTAGTACCTCTGAACTGTTTCCCTTTCTTCTGGCAATCCATTTAATTTTTCCAGAAATCTAGTCATCTAGAGGCATTGCTAAGTATGGTTAATGGAAGCAGAATGCTGAAGATAGTGCCTAGATCATTGTAAGCAACTACATATTTTTTAAATAAATAAAATTTATTTAACAGCCTTCCGATTTCTTTTTCTGGATATCATGATTGATTTTTTAAGTTTATATTTTAAATATTTGTTTGTTTGTTTCTTTATTTACTTTTGGCCACACTGCCCAGTATGAGAGATCATAGTTCCCCAGCCAGGTATCGAACCTGTGCCCCCTGCTGTGGAAGTGCAGAGTTTTAACCACTGGACCACCGGGGAGGTCCCTGGATCTCATGGTGCTTTAAAAAAAGAAATTTTTTTTTATCTGAGGAGAAATAATATAATTTAGTATTTTATCTTATTATTCATAACACTTTAAAATATTATCAGTGTTATGTACTAATAAACTTTAACAGTATATAATATTTGTAGTAATGAAATTTCTATAACAGTAAATAAACAATTGATATAATTGGCAGGTCATTATATAATAATCTTTAATTTTATCGATGTAATTCTTTGTAGATTTTTTTTTTTTCTTTTTTTGCAGTACGTGGGCCTCTCACTGTTGTGGCCTCTCCCGTTGTGGAGCACAGGCTCCGGACACGCAGGCTCAACGGCCATGGCTCACAGACCCAGCTGCTCCGCGGCATGTGGGATCCTCCCCGACCGGGGCACAAACCCGTGTCCCCTGCGTCGGCAGGCGGACTCTCAACCACTGCGCCACCAGGGAAGCCCTGTAGATTTTTAATGGTGGATTCATGATAGTTATTACATAATAATTTGTGTCATTATGAAAGTATTAGTAAATTTAATTTACTACTAATAATAACAGTAACCTCATAGTACAGACACATAGAAGCAGATGGTGTGAACTATAAGATAAAATATATCACATTTGGCCAGGCCACAGACACCAATAGGATATTTTTCTTTTCTTTTCTTTTTTAGATGATAACTGGTCAATACTGCAGTCAAAAAGGCAGATCTCGGGCTTCCCTGGTGGCGCAGTGGTTGAGAGTCCGCCTGCCGATGCAGGGCACACGGGTTCGTGTCCCAGCCGGGAAGATTCCACATGCCGCGGAGCGGCTGCGCCCGTGAGCCATGGCCGCTGAGTCTGCGCGTCCAGAGCCTGTGCTCCGCAACGGGAGGGGCCACAACAGTGAGAGGCCCGCGTACCGCAAAAAAAAAAAAAAGGCAGATCTTGTTTAAGTTATTTTAGATATTAGAGCAACAAATGTTTTGATTATTGTCAAAATGGAATGACTTTGTTAGAAAAAGGCACTTTAATGTATGCATAACATTATTGCAGTAACTACACAAATCACTATGACTTTGGAGTCAGCAAAATTATAATAAAATATTCTTTAAAATTCTGAATAGCAAAGATATCTAGATGTGGTGGTGTTGTACAGTGTATAACCTTAACAACAATACCCAGAGGCTTTGCTATGGGAGTGATCAAGTGCAGAATGGTGAAAGGAACACCAGTTCCAGATGAGGGGCATTAATTTTATCCTAATCCCATGAAAACTAGGGGAGGGTGGAGGGGAGATGAGAAGAGGGCTACAGATAGAGCCTGAAATACTCCCTGCAGAGCTTACCCCCAATCATCCTACAGAGTGACCTCTCTACTCTCATTTTCTCTGACCTTAAAAACTGGGACCTATGGGCTTCCCTGGTGGTACAGTGGTTGAGAGTCCGCCTGTTGATGCAGGGGACACGGGTTCGTGCCCGGGTCCGGGAAGATACCACATGCCGCGGAGCGGCTAGGCCCGTGAGCCATGGCCGCTGAGCCTGCGCGTCCGGAGCCTGTGCTCCGCAATGGGAGAGGCCACAACAGTGAGAGGACCGCGTACCGCAAAGAAAAAAAAACAAAAAAACCTGGGACCTATCAGCAACCTAGTCCTTACTCAAGCTTACTCTGCTTTAGCTTTCTGAAGTGTAGCACCATCGTGGTTTACCTAGTCCCTCTCAAAACTTTTTAATTGGTTCTTCCTACATTCCTCAAGTACATGATGATATATCCTTAGATTGCTTCTCTAGGCTTCTCCCTATATCATCTTGTCAATCATTCATTTCATTCATTCATTCAATAAGCATATCAGCCCCCTGCTAGACTCAGGATGTTTGAAAATGGACCAGTCATAGTCCCTGGCCTCTGGGACTAATGGAAGACAGGCAGGTAGACTTACTATGTTTCAGACCCTTTTTTTAAGAAAACTATATTATATTATATATATATATATGTATATTTATTTATTTGGTTGCACCAGGTCTCAGTTGCGGCAGGCAGGCCTCTCAGCTATGGCATGAGAACTCTTAGTTGCAGCATGCACGTGGGATCTAATTTCCTGACCAGGGATCGAACCCCAGCCCCCTGCATTGGGAGCATAGAGTCTTATCCACTGCGCCACAGGGGAAGTCCCTCAGACCCTATTTTAAATAGTTTACATGGGTTATCTCATTCAGTCCTTGCCACACACTCAGTGGTGGATTGGATAAAAGAATGTGGATAAAGAAGGTGCCATGACCTGAGATTTCTGGGCTGATTGGATGAAACACAGAAAAGTCTAGTATAATTTTTCTTGGCAGCTGGGTGAATGGTGGTGTCACTTACAGAATTAGGAATAAACAGTAGGTTTGGGGAGGAGGAGTAAGATGATGAGTGAAGGTCTAGACAAACTGGGTTTTCAATATTTGTGGGATATCCATGTGGAAGAGTCTAATAAACAGTTGATGGCTATGAGAAAAGTCAGTACTGAACGCTTAAATCTGAGCATAATTAGTATATAAATTGCAGCTGCATGAATAGTATCACCCAAGGAAAGACCAATTAAAAAAGAGAATCCAGGATTAAAAGCATGAGAAACAGCAACATAAAATATACAGGCTATATCTTCCAAGATTCTTCTGTTGTAAATAATAGAAACCCAAATAAAACTGACTTAAGCAAAAACAAAACAAAAAAGAGTTTCTTGACTCAGAAAAAAGAACTAGCTTTGGGGTATGGCTAGATCCGTGGCATTTGTCCTCTGGGTTAGCTTTCTTCTCAGGCAAGTTCTTTCTATAAAAAAGATAACAACAGGGCTTCCCTGGTGGCGCAGTGGTTGGGGGTCCGCCTGCCGATGCAGGGGACGCGGGTTCGTGCCCCGGTCCAGGAGGATCCCACATGCCGCGGAGCGGCTAGGCCCGTGAGCCATGGCCGCTGAGCCTGCACGTCCGGAGCCTGTGCACCGCAACGGGAGAGGCCACAACAGTGAGAGGCCCGCGTATCGCAAAAACAAAACCAAAACAAAACAAAAAAAGATAACAACTAAAGTCCATAGGAAGAACATAGTGCTTTCTTAATAGTTCTAGCAAAAGTCCTGGGAATGATTCTCAATGGTCCGTATTGAGTCATTAGACATTTCTTGAGCCATAATGAATTGTCTAGGCCTAGGTCATAAGCTTTCTCTTGTCTTGGGGGTGGGATTGGTGTCCCTTGAACCAAGATAGGTGGAAGGATGGTTCCCCACAGGAAAATGGATCTATTCTTCTCAGTCGAAGGGGAAGTGGAGCCTGTGTATGCACAAGCCACCAATGCCCATTACATAGCAAGGGATATAAACTCAGGAAGGAGGTGAAAAGTAGTGGGTCTAAGGGTAGAAGGTGCACCCCAGAAGAGGGTGGTATTACTGGAAGCAAGAAAAGAGAAAGTTTCAAGTAGGGCATAGTCATCAGGGTCAAATGAGAGATCAGGGAGAATGAGGAATGAGCCATATTTACTGGATTTAGCATTAAGAGATTTTAGTTGGAGTGGTGAGAGTGAAGCAAGATTTCGGTGGTTGAAGGATGAAGGAAAGGCAAAAAGAACCTTTATGTCGACAACTGTTTCAAGTACTTTGGCTACGAAGGGGAAGAGAGAGATTGGGTTGAGCCAGTGGGGAGAGACTTGAGTCTGCTGAAAATAAAGAGCCAGGAATAATAATATTATTATCTATCATTCCCTGATAACTTACTAGGTGCCTGACGACATTTTTCTATGTTTGAATATAAAATTTTGGCCCATGTGTTTTGACTTCATGGTACAGTTTTAGTTAAAGAAATGGTCTAGAAACAATGGCAATTTCAAACTCTAAACCTACATACATGCTTCCTATTAGCTACAATAGATGAACTTTCATGTTCCTACCTATAGCCAATCACCGGAGTCACTAGTCTTGAGGACATTGCTCCATTGATCTTCCTCTTTCTCTGCATCACCCACTTTTGCTCTCTACTGGATCATTCCCATCAGTTTACGAACATTCTATTTCTGCCATCTTAAAAGAAATTTCTCTTCACTCTACCTTCCCGCCAATCTCCTCCAAAGAGTTATGTCTTGTCTCTTCACTATCTTTAATTCCTCTCCTCTCATTCTCTTTAAATCCTACTGCAGTCTGGTTTTGGCCCCAGGATTCCACTGAAACTGCTTGGCCAAGGTCACCAATGACCTCTGTTTTGTTAAATTCCCTCCTCCTCCTCGATATGCTTATTTATCTTGGTTTCCAGGACTCCACATCATCTACCTCCCATCTCTTCTCTGTCTCCTTGTGGATTCCTCCCCTTATCCCAGACCTCTTAATGTAGGAGTGCTCTGCATCTCAAAATTTGATCCTATTCTCTTCTCTCCCTACTTGCACCCCCTTGCCAATCTCGTCCAGTTTCATAGTTTAGATTCCATTTGTATGCCAGCAACTTCCAAATTTATATTTCTAGCCCAGACCTCTTTCCTGAACTCCAAATTTATTCATCTGTCTAGTCACATACTGCTTGAATCTGCTTGAAAGTTGAATAGATATCTCAAATTTAAAATGTTCAAAACTGGGACTTCCCTGGTGGTCCAGTAGTTAAGAATCCACCTTCCAATGCAGAGGACGTGGGTTCCATCCTGGTCAAGGAATTAAGATCCCATATGGCAGGGTCAGCTAAGCCCAGGCGCCACAACTAGAGAGAAGCCCACGTGTTGCGACAAAGATCCTGCATGCCGCAACTAAGACCCAATGCAGCCAAATAAATAAATAAATATTTTTTAAAAATGTTCAGAACTGAACTCCTAATCCCTCCCTCTGCTCCCCCAAATTCCTCATTCCATAGCCTTTCCCCCCAAAATTGAGGGCACCTTTCCAGTACTCAGGCCTCCACATCCTCAAGTGATCTTAGTGGTATACCAAATGTGGGGATGGAGAGTGGGACAGACAATGCAGTGGTCTGCTGTGGTGGAGAGGGAGTATTTTATAACTTTTTAGACATTGCTT